GTCCAGTTGGTTGGTGGCATTGTTCAGTTCTACATCCTTGCTAACTTTCTATTTATTAGTTCTACTGCTAAGAGAATTACTGTAAAGAATTTTTCTGGTCTTTGTTCCAGGAAACCAGGGTTCCTGGGAACTAACCTCTAAATCTTTGACATCTCCTGAGTGATAGAAGTACCTTTGTTATTCATGGTGGGTCCCTGGGACCATCTCTGAGTTTATGCTAATGAGGTAATTCAGGAAGGGGGCTAGCCATGCCAGAAAGACCAACCATGTGATTAGAGGGTTGGGGCTTTAAGGAGGGTTTTAGCCCATCCTCTGGTAAGGGGAAGGGTGGCTGGAGATTGAGCTCCAGTGCATGGCCAGCAATTCAATCTTTCCTATGTAATGGAACATAATGGACAGCCAAAGCTTGGGTCAGTGTCCCTGGTTGGTAATTGTTCATGAATGCACTAGGAGGGTAATCTGTCCTAAGGACATGGAAGTTTTAAATTTTGTATCTTCCCAGACCTTATCCTATGTCTCTTCAATTGACCAATCCTGATTTATACCTTTTATAATAAAACTGTTAGAATATAGTTGGTTCTAGTTTTTTTTTTTTTTTTTTACAATTTCTGTGTCCTTAAGACTATTGGCATTTAAGTATTGATATGTTTGCATTTAGGTCTACCATTGTTTTGGGTTTGTTTCCTGTTTTATTGTTGTTGTTCCTGATAGCCCTTTCTTGCCTTTTTGGGGTCATTTAATTTTTTTTCAGTATTTCATTTATCTATCCACTAAAAGAACTACTTGCAGTTCTTTTGGTGGTTGCTTGAGAGATGAGAATACACGTTTAGTTTTTCAGTCTACTAGGAATCAAGATTTCACCACTTTGAGTGGACTGTAGAAACTTTACTATCATACAGGTTCCATAATCCCCCTCCTTTGTTACTGGTATCTTAGGTATTCCATCAGTGAAAACACCATCAATGTCATATTTTATTTCTATCATCAAACATATTTTAAGAACTCAAGAGAATCATTTAATTCTTTTAACCCAGATCATGACTATTTCTGTTGCTCTTCCTTCTTTCGTGAATGTTTCCATTTTTCTTAATGGCGTCATCTTCTCTTGGTCTGAGGAATTTCCTTTAGTGGTTTTAGACCAGGTCTGCTAGGAATGAGTGGTTTTTTTTTTTTTTTTTAAGATTTTATTTGACAGAGACAGAGATAGTGAGAGCAGGAATACAAGCAGCAGGAGTGGGAGAGGGAGAGCAGGCTTCCCGCTGAGGAGGGAGCCCGATGTGGGACTCGATCCCAGGACCTGGGGATCATGACCTGAGCCGAAGGCAGACACTTAACAACTGAGCCACCCAGGCACCAGAGTTCTTTGTTTTTCTTCATCCAAGAGTGACTTTTCATTTAGTGCCTGAAGGATATTTTCACTGGATATAGAATTCTGGGTTGTCAGTTCTTTCCTTTTAGCATTTTAGAAATGTTGTGCTCCTTCCTTCCGGCCTCCCTTTCTGATGAGAGATCCAGTCATCCAAATCATTATTTCCCATAGATAATGTGTTGTTTTTCACTGGCTGCTTTCAAGCGTATTGTCCAGTTTTCACTACTATTGTGCTGGGTGTGGGTATCTAGGAGTTTCCGGAATCCATAGGTTTAAATTTTTCACCAAATTGGGAAGTTTCTTGCCAGTATTTCTTCAAATATTTTTTCCCAGCATCACGCTTTCTCCTCTCCTTCTGGGATTCTGATAGCACAAATGTTAGACCTTTTATTATTGTCCTGGAGATCTCTGAAGCTCTGGTCATGGTTTTGCTTTGTCATTTCCCAATCTTTTTCTCTGGTATTCAGATTAAATTCTCTTGGTTTATCTTCAAGGTCACTGTTTCCTCCATTATGCTAGACTATTCGGGGAGTTTTTAATTTGGTTACTGTGTATTTCAGTTCTAAAATTTCCATTTCATTCTTTACATACACATATATATATAATTTCCTTGCAGAAATTTTTTCCATTAGCTACAAGAGCATTCTTGATTATTTGCCGGAGCACTTTTATAATAGTTGCTTTAATGTCTTTGTCAGATAATTCCAACATCTGGTATCTCAGTACTGGGATCTCCTTTTCCTAGTTGAGATTTTCCCCATTTCCTGGTGTGCCAGGTAATTCTGGATTGTATCCTTGACATTTTGAACAGTCATTAAACTCTAACTCTTGTTCAAATCGTACAGAAAATACTGAGTTTTTGTTTCAGCAGGCAGTCAACAACCTGGTTAGGTTGCAGGCAAAGGTTTTATTATGTTTTTAAAATTCCAACAAAACGGACATAAAATATGAGTTTCAGGTGTGTTAAGATCAGGCAAAGGTTTTGAAAGCTAAACTGACACCTTCAGAAGGCAGTTTGGGATGGCAGTTCAACTTTCAAAACCATTGCAGGGTTTTTTGGATCTAGTGCATGTGAATGCCTCCTGGGTGCCGGTCTGGGATTTGGGTGGTGGTCTCTTTGTATTAGAGTCTTTGGTCTGCTGAAAAGGATCAGATCCACACATACATACAGCTTGGCAATGGACCCAGGGGTTCATCAACAACTTAATGAGGTCCCTACCTGAGTTCCTTCCTCTCTGTGATCTCTTTGGTACTTTCTGGTTCCTTCTATTTCTAGTTCTCTGGCCAGAAGACTACTTTTGCCACTATGTCTGCATCTGGGGCCAAGTGGACAGAGGGCAGAGAGAAAAGTGCAATGGGGATTGGTTCTACCCTTTTGGAGACAAAGCTGTATGGGAGAGGATCATCTCCCCAAGTTTTGGCTCACGCGGGCTCTGACTGCCAGCCGTGGATGCTGTCACCATCATGGCATTGCTGGGGTGGGTAAGAGAATACAAAAGAATAAAAAAACACAAAAGGGTTTCTACACTCTCTTGGGTATATGAGAAGTGCCCCTTGCATTCCTTGAGGCAGACTGAGAGGGCTTGTGCCTGTCTGTGCCCCAGTACCCCCTCCAGCTTTCCAACGTGCTCACTTCACACTGGGGTATACCAGAGGGGAAAATGGTGGACTCCTCATGGGTTCACTGGTACTTCAATGAACAATGAACAACCACCTGCTGTTGTCTTTCGGAGCTCCACACACTCACAGCTGTATCTGGTTCTACCTTATCTGGAACCAGTCCAACTAGTGTTTTTAATGTATACTCTCTACCCCCACTGTGGGCCTCAAACTCATGACTCTGAAATCCAAGAGCCACACTTCTCCAACTGAGCCAGCTAGGGGCCCCCCAACTAGTGCTTTTAATATAAGAAAGAGGGAACGAAATTATTTTGGCTTTCTTCTCACATGATTATAAATTTCAACTGCAGTCCTAAAGGATCATTTTCCCTGTTGTTTAAAGAGAAATAACCCTAAATATGATGATATTGCCATTACCACAAGGCATTTTTAACAATTTATTTTTTGACTAAGATGAACAGTAGGAGGCAATAAATGTAGGGCTTTGGTTTTCAGTAGGCAAAGAGGACAGGACCTCTTACTGTTCTTGGGCAATTAATTTCACATTTCACTCATTTTGAATTAGTTTTAGAATACTCTGAAGACTACTACCATCATACAACTGTTACTGTTAGATGTTTCTAAGGGTAACAGAAGGTATCAGCTATAAAATGCTGTCAACGCTGCCTCTGATCAAGGACTTAAAGCTGTGCCTGAGAAAGAGACTACACATGTACATATACACACACACACTTTTTTTTCTTAGAGAGACAGCACAAGCAACTGGGGGTGGGGCACAGGGAGAGGGAGAGAATCTTAAGAAGGCTCCAGGCTCAGCATGGAGCCTGACGCAGGGCTCAGATCTGATGACCAAGATCATGACCTGAGCTGAAATCAAGTGTGGGATGCTTAACCAACTGAGCCACCTGGGTGCCCTGAGACTTTATATTTTTGAGACAGAAAGTTGGCAGACTAGGAACCCCAAGAGGGAGAATCCAACCCTTTATGTAAGTAGAGAACATATGTAGCCTAATAGCAATGTTTAATGAACTCTGTGCTCCAAGGAGAGTGGGTCCTTAGAAGAACAAAATGAAATTATTTTAACTGCTAACTATACCTAGAATCTCAATTACTACAGTGACTTCATGTGGATTACCTTAAAGTCAGCAGTGTTTGATCAAATATATCACAAATACATTTGTGAAAAATTAACCCAGGTAAGTGTGATTATGGCGTGTAGAAACACTTCATGATTAAAAAAAAATTGGGAGTATACAGCACTGCAATCTTCAGAATATATGATGATTTGGCGTTTTGTTATTTATATGGTCTTTAAGAAATTTGATACATTTACCAATTATCTTAATTTTATTTTGTGCAGACACAAATAAACAGAAGTTTTAGATTTAAGGATTTCCGTTTCTTCCCACAGAAGAACACTGTCTATGGAGACAGTCTTGTTTTGCTCCCCAACTGTCAAAAATGGCATTTAATAACAGACATGGCCCTCGGCAGAAAAGGCAGATGTTACCTCCGAATAATCCTCCAATTAAAGTTATGAAATAAACTAAGAGGCAGCTACACCTTTTCCCCTGAAAAATACAGCTACTGTGGCCAGCAGCTCCCATTTATTGAGCTTTACTATGTTCCAAGCACCGTGCTAAAGGCTTACGATAGGTTCTACCATTTGACCCTCCTCAAGTCCTAGGAGTACTGTTGTCAGCCCCATTTCCAGAAAAGGAAACAGGTGCGCAGAGAAGTACCCTAAGGCCATGGAGCTAGGAAGCAGTGGAGCCAAGACTGCAACCCAGGCCACTGGCCTTGTAACCGCTGCTCTCCACTCTCCACTATAAGCCACAAGGACCAGGGGACCTGAATCCATCACTCCCCTCCAGGTTATTTTTATAGTGTTAAAAAGCAGAAGGTGTAAATGAGAAAGAAAAAGGCCAAAAAATCCTCCAGCGATCCCATTGATTGGGAGGGGAACCTCAAATCCTAAATACCCTTTACTATTTGATGTTACTTTTCTTAATCAAGAAAACCACCTTGCCATCAACATACATCTTCAGAGAAAGTTGTGTAGCAAAAAGTACCAACAAACAAAACAACAATCAAAATTTACTTACAGTAACATCAGGCTCATTTTACACTAAATGAATACAGTATATCCCAGTCAAGAAATCAGTAATTCTTGAGAAGTTAAAAACTTCAAGAGAAACAATATATATTCATATAATATTTTACTTACTGACTTCTCCAAAACATGCAAAAATTCATATGGCTAATGGAATTTTCCATGTGAAAATGTTGCTCAACAGAACAAATTCCTAACCAAAAAATATTTTAATGTAGGTAGCAACATGTGAACATTACATTTAGGTGGTAAAATTCAGGTTACAATAATATGGTAAATATCAAATGATATCCCTCTGGCCTAATGGAAAACATAACAGTTGTGACAGTCACGCTTAACACCTTGGTTAAATACAGAGAGAAACGGGCAGGGGTGGCACAGACATATGTGAATTCAGATTTAACAGTCTGAATAATCTTTAGCCCTCCTGAGAAAAGACAGAGGGGAAATCTGTGGCAAATACCTGTGTAATATGGTGGCCTCAGGCCACTAGTGATCATTCTGTTCATGCACTTAAAGTAACCGCAGCTGGTTTGAGCACTGAAAACGAGATTCAAAGCAAGTCTCTGCTCAACAAGCTAATGATACTACAAATCCCTTACATTCAAAAACAGTTTAAATTTGGAAAGTTTTAAAGTAAAGCATACTTGTTTCCATGATTACTTTTAGAAATAACTGAGACTACATTACTATATTATACATAGTCAAGCACACTGCTGTGCACAGGCAATTCCAGTTACCATATTTTAAGTTTGTTGGTCAGCAACAGCACAAATTTTATGCTCCAAAAAAAAAATATCAATCTGGTAAAATGGTTACATCTAATTTTCTTTTAAAGACAGATTAACTAAATTTAAGGAAGAATTGCCTTTTTCCAATTACTGATACAAACTTACCATAGAATAATTATTTTGCCCCATATCAACCTGCAAAAGGTTTCCCAACATAGATGCATTTGTTCAATTTTCAAAAATAAATAAAGGTTTTCTACCTGAAAGCATTTACATTCCTAGCTCTTTAAAGTAAATATTAAAACACAAAGTACAAAAAATGATCTCCCCACTTCTGAAGAGCCCACTTAGTTACATAAACTATTTTCTTTCCCAACACTTTTTCAGATTCAAAAGAGATTTACTTCCTAAGAACAGGACAGATCTTCAATTCAAACCATTTAGTCCGTTTCCATGGCAACACTGCGGGATTCCTTGGCTACCATAAGTCGCATTAGTTGACTGTGGAATTTCTCAATCTTCTTTACGTCTTGGGCTTGGTCTGTTCTATACACCAAACACTGTTAGAAATTTTAAAAGTACACATTAACTACGTAAAACCAGATTATCAACAACGTAGCAAATGGAGGATTGGGTACAAATATGAGTCTTTCCCACCACCTTTTGCTCTATTCCCTCTGGGGGTCAAACTAAGGCAGTTACACTCAAGTTTCTAAGCCCCCAGCAATTACGTTCCTTTAGTATCTTATAGTATTTCCAACTCCACTGCTATAAGCAAAAAACTAAATGAAATCTAACAGAAGCTCCTCAAAAATGAACAATTAAGTAATATGCTAAATCCTGCTGTGGGGTCTGATGAGAACTCCAGACTTGGAATCAGATTATTTTCTCCCTGGGATCTGGTCATGAGTTAGTTATACTGGAAAAGCACAGCAATATTAGGATTGCCTTCCTTACTTGTGAAACTGGGAGACGGGGAGGGGGTGGTAATGATAATTTAAGAAAAAAAATCCACCATCCCTTGCTCACAGCTGGTCACGGTCTAAATTAAACCAGATCAATCTGACCAACCTTGATTTTTTGAAGGTATTCACAGTTTTTAACCCAAACCAAATTCTTCCCTGCTATAAGTTAAATTCTTCATCAGCTATATACTTCAGATCCACTTATGGTTTCTCAAAAACCATTTGTTCTAGAGTCTTCAAAAATACCAAATTTAGGCTGGCAGTTCTTTCCCTCATTTTGTAACAAAAGGTCCGTTTCTCTTTAGCCCATTTTAAAGGTTCGCATGAGTCTTAAAGGGAACGAATGATCCTGCAGTAACAGTCATCAACTTAAGTAATCTATAGTTCAATCTTATCATCCCTGACTGGTCATCGTGCCTTTACACTCAAAGTTGTTATCCATACATTGTAGAAATTTGTGTCACAGTCTTGTAAAGAGGCCACAATAATCCCCAATGTTTCAATTTCAGTACACGTACTGTGGGAGAATCTGTCTACCCTGTCACTACAGTTTGACAGCAAAGATTTCAGATTCATAGAAAATACTATAAATCAGTCATGGGATCAGAAAAAAATGATGATAAAAAAGTCAAAGACATCGTGATAATAAATGTAGCCTAAGACTGAGTTCCTGAAGGAATTACTATTAAAAATGAATTAGCAAGGGAAGTGTGCACACCTTTTAAAAGAGTCATTAGAAAACAGATTTTTTTTCTGTCGGGGTTGATTCATATATTTACAATTTAGGAGGACGGGTTTGACTGTGTCTTTGGCCCCTTCCAAATATGGACCAATTCTCAGTAGTTTTAAGAAAGAACACAGAAGGCGTTTTTCATATTTCGGTCTTGTCACAGGAATCATCAGTGTGACATGAAGTTCCTGCCACTGTTGCCATCCGCCTATCCTTAATTACATTTCATCATTACCGGAGGCAAAAAGTCATCATTTTGAGGTAGAGCCTTTTGTTCTAAAATCAGCTGTGCATTTTTTCCTATCTTAAAAACAGGACATGCCAACTTGTCTTCAGCGGATATACCTCCCCACTCTGTGCCCACCACAACGACAGATTGTCACGTGGACGCCCTGACTCAAGCACACGTGCGGATGCGCTGGGAGGCCGGCTCTAGTGCAGGCACTCTGCCGTGTGTGGTCTATGCCCCACACCCCGGTCAGGGCAGCGGACAGCCACCACGGCGCTTTAAGGACAAGGAAACGGAGGCCCAGAGAAAGCCAAACTATTGGTCCGAACTTTTCCAAGGCTGAGACGTTGGTAAATGGCTGAACTCGGATTCAGATCTCTTGACTCTAAGTCTAGCACTCTACACCGTATGTGTGTGACCTAACCACATTTTCAGTTACTTCAAACTTAACTGGTTCCTGGAAGACATGGTAATCAAAGTCTGAATTCACACCTCACAATGGAACCTTGAGCACAAATATATAAAAGTCTAACATATGAGCTAAGACAAAAGGTGATTTTTAGTCACTCTGAAAGCACATCTATGAAAACCCTGCTTACTAAGCACCCCCCGGGCCCGGACACCATGCTGGTCACTGGAAATACAGGTAAGAACTTTACTGCTCTCTACTGTCGTGAAGCTCACAATCCACCACAACGAAAAATACGATAAAATAATTGTGATACAGCACAAAAAGAGCCAAAAAGAAAAGCAAGAGATGAAGTAATCCTTTTAGCTGGATTTTGAAAGACAAGCACCCATCTTGCCACACTGGGGCGGCGGTGGGATTCAATGCCCCAAAGGTGGAAAGAGGCCATCCGGAGGCACAGGGGCCTAAGACAGCCCGCGACGTCACAGGAGCCCCTCCGTAACACAGAAAAGACAGAGGGTGGAGGGCATGTGAGGCCATGTTACATTATCCGTGACGAGGAGCCACTGAGGTTTTTAAGCAAGGACCAAACCTGCATTTTTCGAAATCTCTCTGGACAACTAAAGGATGAACTGGAAGCAGGGCCACACTGGGGAGCCTAGTCTAGCAGTCTAGCCAAGCGAGGACAACACCCTAAACTCAGGGGAAGCAGAGCAGAGACAGAGCACTCGTGACAGGAAATGAGACAAGGGCACTTGAGCCAGTAATTCCCAAATGCCCGGGAATGCACATGGAGCACGTCAGAGGATCAAATACAAGCTCTTCAAGTGAGGGGCCAGTGGTCGTGAGAACGGGAAAGGACCCTAACGCGCTAGGAAACAGGAGCGGCAGTTTGAGAAGAGATAAGGAGTTCCGTTCTAGACAGGCTAATTTTGAGGAGCACCGAGGTAAGGAGAGCTAGTCAGGAAGTCAGAAGGAAAATGTGACCTAAATGTACAAATGTGGAGACAGACCTAAATCCCAGCAGTCCCAGGCACCGTGGCTGAAAAGGACTGCTCCAGGAGCAGTATGAAATGTTGACCCAGGACAGAATCCTGGAGAAATCAATACTTATTAGCAAAGAGCAGTAAGACAGAAACACAGAAAAAGAAGATTAAAACAGAGCCACAGATGCCAAAATAACTTCCACCAGAGTGGTTTTCTATCAGAAGCAGCCAGGAGGTCCAGGAAAATGTGAAATGATGAGACCATCAGGTCTGGAGGTGAGGGGACGCTGCTGGGCTCACCGTGAGAGTAATTCAGTGGACGACTACTGCACGTGGAGATCAGGTCCCGGAAGTAATGGGGTGTGCGGAAGTGACAAGACTGAGCCGGGAGGGGAGGGGGAGGGAGCCATAAAGCCTATAACCTGTGTTCAAACACCATCATTTCCTTCCCACACGCTCATAAGGAGACCTTTATCCCCTCATATCCAGTTTTAGTCTCTACACTCTTTTTGCTTAAGGTCTGAAGTAATTACTAAATTATACCTGACATACTACATTGGTGAAATAAGTTATTTCCCCAAGAGTCTATAAAAGTAGCTCTAGAATGAGGTTTTTGACTTTGGAACGAAATGCAAAATCATCCTAATACGCAATCTGCATAAATTCTACGTAAATAATTTTAAACAAATGATTAACTCAAACAGATCTGGAAGTATGCAACAAATAAAATTGTATACTTACAACTAAATCATCTGTTACTTTAATACACAAACTCCCATCAGAATGCCTATATTTGAGAACCACACGGGCCTGAAATAAAAATACACATTTAGAAACAGTGAAGTCAAAAGACATTTCTCACAAATAAGGGTTAGTCTTCAGGTCTGCTAAAGAGGATCCCTCCAGAACAGCCAAAACATCTAAACACATCTTCACTGTAAACATCGTTATTGAATGAGGTAGAAAACAGTAGTTCATTCCTATTGCTGTAATTCATTTTTTAAAAAGACTTATTAAAAAGTTGGATATTTATTTGCAGCCAGTTTGAAAAGATACACTGAAAATTCCCAAAACACATCCACATTCAGGGAATGTCCATGAGACTCTTAAGGTGGTTTGGCATTAAGAATATACAGATCTTAGGCACCTGGGTGGCTCAGTAGGTTAAGCATCCGACTCTTGATTTCAGCTCAGGTCCTGATCTCAGGGGGTTGTGAGATCGAGCCCCATGTTGGGCTCCGTGCTGGGCGTGGAGCCTGCTTGGGATTCTCCCTCTCCCTCTGGCCACCCCCATGCAACGAATAAAAAGAATATACAACAAGAATATACAGATCTTCTTCAACTTACGATGTGGTTATACCCCCAATAAACCCACTGTCAGTTGAAAATATCATAAATTGAGATTATCATGGATGTGTGGCCGGCTCAGTCGGTAGAGCATCCGACTCCTGATCTTGGGGTTGTGAGTTCAAGCCCCTCACTGGGTATAGAAATTACTTTGTGGCCAGTGTCATGAGAGTGTTGTCTGCATCTCACTAACCCGAGAAAAGATCAAAATTCAAATTCATAGTACAATTTCTACTGAATTTCTATTGTTGTTGCAGTACCAAAAGTCAAAATACAAAGTCCAGGGGCGCCTGGGTGGCTCAGTGCTTAAGCATCTGCCTTCGGCTCAGGTCATGATCCCAAGGTCCTGGGATCAAGCCCCGTATCAGGCTCCCTGCTCAGCAGGAAGCCTGCTTCTCTCTTTCCCAGTCCCCCTGCTTGCGTTCCCTCTCTCGCTGTCTGTCAAATAAAGAAATAAATCTTTAAAAAAAAAAAAACACACAAAAAGTCCAAGCATCTTAAGTTGGGGACCATCTATATACTGAAAGGGATCACAACATGCCTCCTCAAAACATGTCACTTTGGCATAAGGACTGTTCTGAGCAGAGAACAATTAGCTCTCTGCCCTTTCTGGCTTTCATTGGCCTTCATAAAGGTGACATAAATTTCTAATAGTGAAGGTACTCCTTTCTCCCTTACTGGGAAAAGGCAGGCTCTTATCTGCGTAACAGTCCTTACTAATCACCTTCCCACAACTTACTTCCCTCCGTAGAAGCCCCAAACCCCCTTTCCTTAGTCCACCCTCTTTCCCACACTTTATCAGCCTTGTTGAGACGGTACATAGGCCCAATTCTAACGGCCTCAAGTCAAATGGTTTGTGAACTCCATGCATACTGCATACATGTCAGGTTTTCTCTCTTGTTAACCTGTCTTTTGTCAGTTTAATTTGCAGGGCCCCAGCTATTAAACCTAAGAGAGTAAAGGAGAATGTTTTTCCTTCCCTCCCAATACCCACAACCCAGCCGCAGAGAAATGATAGAAAAAGTAGGGGGGAAAACAGCAGACAGGCCTATGCAAGTCCAAATCTGTGTGGCAGGAAGTACGGCAGTCACAGTTCATGCTGTCCCCCACCCCGTGGCTCTCAGGAGGTAGATTTGGACTCGAGCATTCAGCGAAGTCATGTCCTTATCATGATGGCACCACACGATGTATTAGGACAGAAAAGCAGAATTCCGTCTTGAGAAGAAGTCTCCATCGAGAACTCTTCCAAAATAACTCCTATGTTGAGCACCATGCTACACAATACCTTCTGTTGTTCAGTACTCTACAGTTAGGGAGCCAAGAAAATGATTTATCTAGAAGAAAACATCTCCCAATAGAGTTTACAACTTCTGGGAACAGCATTTTTATTTTTTTAAGTGATGGATTCGAAATAGTGTACTGCAGCAGAGTCCATTTCTTGCTGACCAACATAAATAACTAGCTGTTTTAAAAAGTGCCAAGTATCTACAGGCCAAAACAGGAACATAATTTTAAAATGGTCACAATGGGGGCACCTGGGTGGCTCAGTTGGTTAAGCGACTGCCTTAGGTTCAGGTCATGATCCCGGAGTCCCGGGATCGAGTCCCGCGTTGGGCTCCCTGCTCAGCGAAGAGCCTGCTTCTCCCTCTAACCCTCCCCCGTCTCATGTATGCTCTCTGTCTCATTCTCACTCTCTCAAAATAAATAAATAAATCTTTAAAAAAAAAAATAAATAAAATGGTCACAATGTAAAACCAGAAGCCTCAAGACAATTCTGGAAACTGAAGAGAAAGGGCTATGAAGAGCTGTAACCTACAGCTTTTCCCATTATGTCTCTGCTCTCCTGGGATTGGCGAGGGGGGGGCACACCACTCTTGAAATTTGTTTTGGTGAAGGGGAAAAGGGAACTCAGCAAGCACTTACATAAATTACAACAACTAGATTATCTTTAGATGCCAGATCCTATAAACTGGGTTATTTAATTCAATTCTACATGTTTTAAAAAATGTTCTCCAGAAACAAAAAGCAACTTTAAAATGTGCTAAGCATGACAACTATGTAAAGTCTTAACTTTCTTAACATGAACCAAACACGAAAGAATGGCTGGCTTCATGAGGAGAAGTGAGAGTTAAAAGCTCTATGGTATTGTAAGAGGGTCTATTTTGTAACTGAGGGGGCACCTATGTTACCAGGTCAGATGCCACAAAGAGAGAAAAAGTGATCAAGATTCTTGCTCTCTTAGAAACTTTGAATTCAAGCAACCAAAATAACCAACACAGGATACATGAGTTAACTCCTTTTATAAAGGCATACGCAAGTAAAATGCTAAAAGAGAAAACAAGTAATTTAAATTGGGGAAGGGGAAGTATAAAAAGGCTTTCTAAAGGTGGCTTTGCCAACGCATGCTTTTTTCTCTTAGGGAAGAGGGTGGGAGAGAAGCTGAAGGAGCAGTGTGAATGAAGATCTAAAATCTGTAACTTCATGAGACTAGAGCTAAGGACTGTGGGTATGGTGGGAAGACAAACCCAAAAAGACTGGAGAGGGTCCGACTGTGGATGGCGAGTCTGGACTTTACCTGCCAATCTACGAAAAACCAGTATTTAAGTAGGAAACTGAGAGAATTCCATTTTTGTTTTAGACAGCTGTGGCATGAGCAAAGGAGGGATTAAAAAGGTGGAAAGAGGGGCGCCTGGGTGGCTCGGTTAAGTGACTGCCTTCAGCTCAGGTCATGATCCTGGAGTCCCGGGATCGAGTTCCACGTCGGGCTCCCTCCTGGGCGGGAGTCTGCTTCTGCCTCTGACCCTCCCCCCTCTCATGCTCTCTCTCTCTCTCTTCCTCTCTCTCCCCCGCTCAAATAAATAAAAATCTTAAAAATAAAAAAATAAAAAGGCAGAAAGACTGAGAGGTTATCACACTGTCCAGCAGGAACACCATCTTCAGTGAGAGCAACGCAAGAGGAAACGGTAAACGGTGACAGGTGTACTCGACAGGCTCAGGAGGGTGGGAGAGAAGACAGAGAATTCTCTGAAATGGATTCCAAGGTGTCTTGACAAAACTTCCTTAGTTCTGGCACAGACAGCACAGACTTGGGGTTTAGAGAACGGGGTTGAAATTCTAGCTGCATCTTTTAGAGACCAGGCAATCCATTTAACGTATCAAAGACTGTTCATTCATTTACCTCAAGGGATTGTCCTGACTGTTCCCATGAATCAAACACGTAAGGGTATGCAGTGTAAAATGCCTGTCACACAGAAGGCACTCCACCAAACTGTTAGCCAAGCGCCCTCACCTATCAAAACAGCAGAGTCGAAAACCAGTAGAAGTTTCCCGGCCCTGGACTTTTCTGTGGGGTGAAGAGAGGAAAGGCTCTCTCTCCATCCTGCGTATTCTAGACTAATACGCTGTAAGGACCACCCCGTAGTCATTTCCCTATTAAGTTAAAATATGATTACTCTTGTGAAATTTCTACACTTTTTACTATGTTTTCAGATATTTTGCGTGCGGTGTGGGTACTTCGGGACAAAATTCCTGGACCGTTCTCACAGCGCACTGCACGGAGAAACAAACGTCCCCACCAACACCCGGCGTGAGCCGGATGGAGGAGCTGGAAATCGTGTCACAAACAAAACCCTCGATTTCAAAAGTACCGAACTTACGCCATCACTTCTTGTTTCATTTTACTATAAAGACTGGACAAACGCTGCCTCACAGCTTCTTGTTATGTATCTAGGTCTAAAAACTTACCAAGACTTTTAGTTAGCAAGGAGCTATTTAAACAGTCCGTGGATAGGACAACAAAACAAAAACGCGAGAGAAGAAAAATCAAGACCTGAATGCTTCAATTCCCGTCATCTGGACTCCTTTGCACTTCAGTGAGGAGCTAACCCCTGGCATCTACTTATCATAATTCTTGTGGGGGCCATGAATGAGCCCCCTAAACTGCCACCATTTATGCTTAAGGGCATTTTCCTGAGGAAAGGGTGCGAGAGTCTCACACTCGCCGCGGAAGGACTGGAAAGTGGGCCCGAGACCACTGAGGGTCGGAAGGCCGCAGCCGCAGGGGGAGGAGCCCTGCCCTTAGAGACACGTAAACCACCCGCGGCCGCAGGGAAGTTCCGGGCTGGGGGCGGGGAAGGCAGAGCAGCGCCGTTTGGGGCCCCGCGAAGACCCGGTTTCCGGGCCTCGTCCCGCCGCTCCTCCGGGAGGGGGCAGCGGGAACCATGACACCTGGCGGGGTCCGTCTCCGCTCACCCCCAGCACCTCCTGGCGGGGCTGGAGAAGTTCCGGAGGCCGCGCGGACCGCAGGGAAGACCTCCCGACCCGGGGCAGAGGCAGTGGCCCCGCGGGCATTTACCTTCATAGGGTCGGCGAGGTAGAGTTTCTCGGCCGCGCGACTGAACTCCTCCCACGTCTGGTACTGCGGCATCGTGGGTCCGCAGCGGAGCGCGAGCGGGCGAGGCCGGGGACCGCAGGCGGCGAGACCCGGCCCACCTACCACCTACCTCTGGCTGCCGGAGACCGGTGCGGGGGCCCAGCGGCCCGAAGATGGCGGCGCCTCCTCGCACCAACGCCTCGTCCCATTGGACGGCCCGGCCCGCCCTCGCCCAATGGGAAGGAGGGATGCTGCCAGGAGGGGCGGAGCCCCGAGCGAGCGGCTCTGGGAGCTCGCCGGGAGAAGTCGAGAGCGGGGAGACAGGCGCGAGGTTGCCACAGCGCCCCCTTCAGGACTGGAGGAGCGGGGCGGTGGTGTCGGCCCGCTGTCCCTCCCGCGGGACTGCGTGGTCAAGGCCCGGGTCCTGCGACCACGACGCAGCGGCTGGCTGCGAAGCACTGGAGACACAAGCCTGGGGGCGGCAGGGTCCAACTGACACCCCGCAGCCTAACAAAACGGGGGGGGGGACAGAAACGCAGGAGCGCCGCCAAAAAGTTTGTGCGATGGGCATCTATGTCGGTTCGCTGGACCCCAAAGGCAGCACGGTCGCCTGTGGTGGGGTGGGGGGCGGCGCGCAAGCCGTGTCGGGCACGCGGCTGTTCCGCGGGAGGGCCGGGACGCTAGGCCCCTTCCAGATCTCAGCGGTACGCAGAGTGCGCGTGCTTAGGGGTGGGGGACCCGTGCCCGGGGAAGAAATTTGAACTTGGCTTTCCAGGCAACGTGGCCTGGAAGGGTATCTGGCTTTAATCAAGCTTATCTAGGTATATTCTACGTACACTAAGACACACCGGTTGTAAACGTACAGTCTGACGCATCTCGACAAGCGTGCGTGTACCCAGTGGTCACTTACCGATATGCCCAATACCGCCATCAGGATCTGAACCATTTCTTCATCTCCAAATGGTCCCTTATGCTCCTTTATATTTAATCCCCCCACGCCCACCCCTGTCCCCCACGATAACCCATCTGCTTTCTGCGACTCTAGATTTCCTGTCCACTGCATTTACGGGACTCTGGCTGCTCACCGGGACAGAAGGGCAATAGTGCAAACCCAAAGGCAGGGAGGCCCCTTATTCTGCTCCAGCCTAATACAGGCCTAAGAGCCATGGATCTGGTTAGGGCACTAGCCTAGGACTGGAGAGGAGCAGACGGATTAGGGATGGAGAGTCTTGTGGGGTACGCAGGAGAGAGTGGAGGGACGCCCAGGCTGGGGAAGGTTGTGGTACCAGCACAGGGGAAAGAAAACGGAGCAGCCTCAGGGGGAGGCTGGGAAAGACCGAGCGGGTGGCGCCATCTGTCTCCACGGGAAACTCCAGCAGTGGCCAGAAATAGGAGGCGGCAGCAGATAGGGTGTCGTGGAGCCTTCCTCCGGGGAGGACACGGTGGGAGAAAAGGAGACTAACACAGGCCCCAGGAAACAGCCACATGAACAAGGATGAGAGAAGAGAGAGGGAGCAGAGCCCACAGAAGAGGCAGAGAGGTTATCGGAGAGATAACAGGAGGCCAGGAGGGTCTGCGATGTGAGGGAGGAGCAGGTTCTGAGGAGGGACCAGTCAGTGATCTCAGGGGGCAGACGGAGGGCACAAGTACAAAGAACTGAAACAAGTCGGTGGATCGTAGTGGTTGGTGACCTCGGCCAGAGGAGCCTCAGTCAGATTAGGGTCTGGGTGGAATTGACGGGAAGCAGCAGGAGGGGCGGAAAGGTGGAGGCAGCCGCTTCATACTCTTCTTCATAGAGCTCAGTCGTAAACAGAGGAGATCAGAACATGGGCCGAAGACATTGGTGAAGGAAGAGTATTTTTTCCTTTTTTTGTGGGCTCCACACCCAGTGCAGAGCCCAACAAGGGGCTTGAACTCACGAGCCTGAGCTTGAGACCTGAGCTGAGATCCTAAGTCAGACGCTTACCCGACCGAGCCACCCCGGCGTCCCGAAAGAGAGTTATTTTTTAAGCTGGAAAGAGTGTGTGCCTGTTTGTAACTTTCAGAGAAAGAATCGCAAGAGCTGGAGGGATTAAAACCGCAAAGAAACAGGAAAGCAAGATCTCAGGGAGAACATGAAGGGCAGGACCAGAGGCACAGATGCGAACAGGAGGGGGCTCCTGGCTGCTTGGGGGTGGTGGGGAAGGAGGAAAAGGTGAGTGATGTGTGAGGATGTACGTAGGAGGGCAAGCGTGGATTCAGAGCCTTGACGAGAGGATTTGGAAAAGCCGGAGTGAGAAATGAGTGAGGAAACGCAGAGACAGCATGTCAAGCAGAGCCGAAGGCCCAGTTGAAGTTGGAGATCCTACTCCTGAAAGAGCCCTGATCTGCACACTTTGGGGTCTGTTTCCAGCACCATCCAGAAGCCTGGGTCTTGCAGTGCAAAAGACAGGTAGTAGGGATTTGTAGGGTACGTGATGCAGAAGGACAAGGGGACAGAGATGTTGAAGGTACTGGCGAGAGCGTGGTTGAAGGGATAAACCACGGGACCCAGGCTAGGTAGGTGGGTACTTAATTGGGTCAAAAGAGAGAGGTTAAGGGAGCAGGTGTCGAGGACGTAGGATGAGATTTCAGAGGAGCTGTTGTTCCTGGTGAGGCTGACTTGTCCACTCTTTATGAACGTCACTTATGAGTCAGGCAGAGGAGGGGATGAAAAAAGAAGACCAGTTACTGAGAATGGGGTGGAGGAGCCCCAGAGAACAGCAGTGAGGGGCCGAGAGGGCAGAGCTGGGACGAGTGACCCTCTGGGAGGAGAGGTTTTTGCCCGAAGGTGAAGACAGTAGGACGTGAGATGGTGCCACCCTTGCCCTCTGTCACAATGAGGAGCATCCCATATGTCAGGTGCCTACCGGGGCAAGTGCAAGGCCGACCCCATCCCTGCCTCCTAGAGACCACGCGAGCAGGGATTCCCTGAGCTCGGCCCAGCTCCAGCCCCTGAAGACAGACAAACCAGGACGAGCAAGAAGTTAGGGGACCTGCCCTGGAAACTTCCAGCGTCCCTGGCTATGCTCGAGGCATTCACTGAAGCAGGTTATTTTTCTAGCTGTAGAGCAATGGCTTCAGAAAGGCTACCCGGGAGCGGCCTTTATAAATTGCACTTGGCTTCATTTTCTCACACACACACACACGTACCTCATTTGGGCGTTAAAAGAAGCCCGACAGGGTGGGCCTCAAGCCCTTATCATAATTCTGAAAGTTGGAAAAGCTCGGAAAAACAAAAGCATCTTAGTAACTCCGTTGGTAGCAAACTTGACCTGACCTCTTGGAGGGTGGTTTGGAGCCTTTATTTGTCCCACTCGGCGTGTTTGAGGACAGGGTGGAGCCCAGTGGCTTTACGTGGCATATGGCAGGTGCGCCAACCTCCCTCTGTGGAATTAAACAAGCTGTGAATTCCCAAACACACGTGGCCGCAAGGATTCTGGACAAGGGATTATGGATCTGTGCAACTCTCCTTTCTAGGTGATGAGGACTCCGGGTCTGAGGGGCGCCCGGCCGGCTTAGCCGGTTGAGCTTGCCACTCTCGCTCTAGGGGCTGGGTGTAGAGAGGACTTAAAAAATAAAGTCTTTTAAAAAAGAGAGAGCGAGAGAAAGAAACCAAGTCCGAGAATAAATTATACCCCATGGATTGGCACAGGACTTTGCTCTCATTGGCCAGCAAGTGGCAAGCCAGCAGATGTGTTAATCACGACAGACAGCGGTATGATTAATTTTGGTTTTTAGAAATTGCAACTGGTGGCAATAGCAGAGCTGGGTTGGTGGAGCCAAGCCTGGGTGCAAGGTTGAAACCAAACACCTTTGTCCTTTGGCCTGTGCCGGTGGCCTCCTCGCTTGCTCTCCTGTCCTCGGGGTCTCCCCCCATCCCCCATCGATCCCATCGGCAGCGGAGGTCCGGCCACCCTGCAGCCTGAGCTGGTCCCCACTGACCTCCATGTCGCCCTTCCCGCAGATGACTCTCAAGCCTTTCTTGCCTAGATTACTCAGCTGCACTCGCGGCCGCTGGCCACCCGTCGTCCTGAAAACTTCGCAGGCCCCTGGCTTTTCTGACCTCATTTCCCCTTGCCCTCCTTCTCCCCATGGGGCTCTGTGCTGGCCCCCAGGGCCCCCAGTTCCCCCGGCAGCGGTCCTGAGGTACCAGGCTTCGCGCTCACCCCCCACCGTAGTTCACCCCTGGGCCATGCTGCGCCACTCCCGGATTTCTGCTCCCGGCCGCCCTCCTCCCTGAGCCCGATTCCTGTATCCAAATGCCTGCCAGGCCCTGGGCTAACCCCAGTTCCATTTGGGGAGATGAACCTAACTTCTCAGCAAACCGAAGCAACGTCTGAGTGAACTGCGTGAGGCCTTCTTTTTCGTGTATTTTACCATTGCTGTTGGCAAATTAAGCCACTCCTATCCTGTTGCCAGGAATTGAGTCCCTGGGCCTTACAGGCAGTCGTTGGGCTGGACAAAGTACTTACAAGCTAGTGGGGTCAGGGCGGAAATAATCAGGCAAATTCATGAATCCCTGTAAGCGAAGAGAGGAAGCGTGTCCCGGGCAAGGAGGGAGCAGTCTGACCCCCAGGACCCGGCGGTACCTGCGTGCTTTCCCTGCCCTTGATCTTTCCCCAAAGGAGAGGGTTCATCATCACACTAACAGTCCGCGGTAGGGCCGGCTTGCCAGCAACTCTGGGTTGCCTTGGTTTTCAGGGAGTGTTCACGGGACCCGTGACATGCCGGGACTCCAAGCAGCCACTGTTCTCGTACCTTCCTGGATGACACGGAGTCACAGCAAAGCAGTCAGGCGGAGACAGCGATCGCGGGGAGAGGAGCCGGCCGAGAAACCGGTTAGGCCGGGAGCTGTGTCCCGAACGGGGCAGGAAGGAGCCACGATGGCGGCCGCGTCGGCCCCGTGTCCAGTGGGGGGCAGTGGTGTGCTGACAGTCACGGGGAGCCGTCCCTGCAGGAAGGGGCCCCCGGGGCGCCAGCCCGACTCCCAGCATCGCCGCTTCGGGTGCCTTTGGTTACGTGTTGCTCAGTCAACACTTCCTTTCGGGAGATAGCCCGGGCGCCTAAGTGTTCACCAGGAACTTCCCACCCAGAATTGGTTAAGGAGGTACTGAGCCCCTGTCCCGGGCAGCGGCAAGCACAGAGCTGAGTGCAGAGAGGCTTGCACGCTAACGAGAGCAGGGGGATGGGTAAGGCGAGGTGA